TACAACTCTACAAGAAGAAAGTGTTAGTGAAATAAGAAAAAAAAAATCAACCCATTTAAAAAAAAAGAAACTGGTACATTTATTATATACCAGCACAGCACAAGATCTTCGTTCCAGGTGCCATTCACGTTTACCGGCGAAATACAAACCTACTTAAAGAAAGTGTTAGTGAAATAAGGAAAAAAAAAATAAACCATTGAAAAAAGAATAAAACTAATACTTTCATTATATACCAGCACAGCTCAAGTTTACCATTTCAGGTGCTATTCCACGTTTCCTGGTGAAGTACAAACCTACAAGAAAAAGAAGCATTAGTGAAAATAAAAAAAAAAAAAGGAACAAGAAAAATAAAAACAGGAACTTATCTTAAATCAAAGCAACCGGTCCTAATTCCAGATTTTCATTCCTGGCAAAGCACAAAACTACAAGAAAAACATATTGGTCAAAAGAATAGAAAAAAGAAGCTAGACAAAGAAACTAGTTGAAAGAAAAAAAAAAATAAAAGAAACTAGAGGAAGAAAAAAAAACAGAAGCTAGATGTAAGAAACTAGACAAAAAAAAAAAAATTATACGAAAATTTGCAAAATAGTTTTTTTTAAAAAAATCAAGATATCTCAATGAATATTTATCCAATTTGCATGAAACATTTCGAATATATGCATCTTGACATGCTGAACAACTTAGAAACTCTAAGGTGGTTAACTTAGTAAAATTTGACTCTTATTTTGGGAGATATATGTAATAAAATAAGCAAAATTGAAATTTTTAGAGAAATATTTAATAAGCGGATTAAATTTTCACATTCTTTTCCAGTTTCTATTGAAATTGATGAGAATGATGATATCGAAAGTCAAATTAAAACTATTTGGAAAAAAGTCTCATATAGTGAAAATGATTATCAATATTCAAGAGTCTTATATATTCATACACTTTGTGAGTTGGTGCATCTTAGTAAAAAATCTTATCTCCTAACACTTAAAAAATAAAGCATAACCCTCTTAACTGACTAATCATGTGACTTATTTCAGCATCCATTAATGCTGAAATACTATGATGTATATTTAATCTGGTAATGAGAATATGGCTTTGGCGTTAACTTTAGTCAGAATTAAACTCCTGACTCCAGCCAAATTAATCAATCAAAGCTCTGTAATTTGTGTAAGTTAACAGGTGAGAAATAATTCTTATCTTAATTAACTACACTAAATTTGTTCTGTAATTTGTGTAAGTTAATAGGTGAGAAATAATTGTCTTATCTTAATTCACTACACTAAATTGGTTATTTTTTTATTTATTTAATGAACAAAAGGTTTAGATGTTGTAATAAGCTCAATAAAATTGTTTTTTGTTTTAGTAGCAATCATTTTATTTTATTTGATTACTGCTGGTTTGAGGAAATGGTGGATGATTCTACTTATATTTTATTTATACATAATGCCTTCACCTTTGGCAAATTCAAGATTCCAGTTATTTGCTATTGGGTTTATTCTTTCGTCTTTTCCCAGTCTTCTGATTTTGAAATAATGAAAAATGAACTTTTCAAAGATAAATTTAAAAGAATCACTTAAATGGCATATTATGCCATTATTGCATAATGGTAATATTAACCATACTCTGTGTTACCAGTAGTGTCATTTATTTATTGTCTATTCAAAACGAAGAGATCTGTCTAGATGTTTGGTATACGCAAACTTTGATAGGCAGATAAATCATGTGGCTTTTGTGAAACTGATAAATTATATTATCATTATTGTTATCATTATCGTTATCGTGATTAGCCTTCATATCCTCTAGTGTCTAAAGAAATTGTAAACTTTTATTTTCTGTACGAATTTTTAAAAAATGAACTGTTAGAAAATATTACCATAAGCAGAGCCTTGCATGAAATATGGAGATTATATGGTCTGCAAACAGAAGACAATGATTGCAATTGGCTGAATCTCATTCTAGAAACAGCATGGTCAGAAATTGTTGAAGAAAAATAGAAATTCTGACTTATATCGGAAAAGTTTTTTAATAGATAATCATCGATATATAACAATTAATCGTTTGTATCGATTAGAATATAATGCTATATATTGATAAACTATTATAAATCGATACAAATCTATAAACGATTTTTATTGAATAATAGACATGAATCGATACAAATCTATTTATCGAATAATATCGAGTTTATTTAAATCTATATATAGCGATTAA